TCCACTGTATGCTGATAATAGCATTAGAAATCCTAATACATGGTCTTTAATAAAAACAAGAAGGGTATGAAGCCTTCATAATTATTTTAGGTTGATCTTGGGGTACATTGTTTTATTGGAGCTAGGTAGCATTTTAAAAGAGCAAAGGATTAGACAGACACAGTCTGTTCAAATATTTATCCAGCCATTGAAAGGAGAAGCCTCACTTCCGGCTGCGATGAGGCTGTGGAAATCTCCGTATCCATCATTGTTCAAGAGCTAAGTGATGATTGCATGTTGATTGCCCTTTCAGTTGCCTTTAAGCAGCTTATGTGAAATGTTAAATTCTAAGATGCCTAAAATCCCTGCTTTTTAATTTGTTCACACGCACACGCACACACACACACGCGCACACACACACACACACACAGATCGGAACCAGGTCCTTCCAAACATGAATTACACTGAGCAGAGCTTAAAAAGGTATGAGTGGAACAACCCTAGTTATCACTGTTCATCTTCACAGGAACGTGAAAAGAAAAATAACAGATTGTCAGTTCCCTCTAGTCAAATTGTAGCTATGCAACTTATCACAAAGCATCTGTGTTTTCTGCTCCTTTATTTTAAGCAGTAAAGCTTTATTTAACACTGATTCTACTGCCCTCCAGTAGTTTGAGATCCTCAAAAACCACAGAATAATTTTACATATAATGCAACTCTTTATTTCAGAAATATTTTATTTATTCCTCCTTCATTCTCCTAAAAAAAATTAGAAGAATGCCCCTTCTATTCTTCTAAAATAAGTTTCTGAGTATCCAAAAGAATATGGAGAGCTTTGCAGAATAACTAAGAGGAAGAGACATTTTAAAAGAGTATTTGGAACCATGTACCAAAATTGTGAGTTATTAGCCAAATGCCTCAAGGCTGTAGGGTCGCATACGCCTAGAGACTATGCTTGCCTTCGTCAACATGTCTGTCCTGACACCAGGCTTTTGCTTATGGGATTCACTGCACGATTGGACTTACTTTTAAAAACTCACATAGAGATGACAGCGAGCCACAGAAGCTGGAGTGGAACGTCCCCACTATTTAGGAACAGTGAGAAGACCCACAGTTTGGTTCTGGGTCTAGACCTGCCCACAGCTTTTAGGGGGGCATTGCCAAGTTGCATCTCCAGGCCTAATATTTCTGATTGCTTTTTTTCCCAAACACCTTGACTTTTAAGAAAGTTGTAGGTGCCTTCATGCAAATCTCATGTTTGGTTTTGTTTATTGTTTTTAATTACCTTAAGGGAAGAAGAAAACTCTGCACCCATGCTTTTATATCAAAACCCATTAACCTTGAAAATGGTTCAGGTTATCTGTTGTGGCATACCTTCACCTGCCATTTCTGAGTAGTAAAATCTAATGCTTTCATGGGTTTTATTGATCTGCGTTTTCCATTTCTACGTGTCCCATTGTGTTGGTCACATCATTTGGCAGTTCTAGTAGATCAGTCCCTTGTATGAGGAAAATACTATTTAACAATATTAACTTTAATTAAGTCAATTTAAAAAAGACTTTTGGGGATTTGGCATTAAAAAGACCCCTTGGGATTTCATTGCTAAGGCCCTGTAAGCCTATCGGACCCCTAGTCTGCATAGCGGGAATAAACAGCAGGTTGTCCACTCTAGTTATCAGGACATTTTACATACAAACTCCTGTGGAGGAGTACAGCCATTTACTTATACTTTCACATTCCTGGGGATATGGGGGAGCGGGCCACTGTGGAAAGTTTTGCCATTTTTATGCAACCTGTATCATCGGTTGAAAAGGATCTGCTTCAGGACTATGTATGAACACCAGTTTTCTGATTCTTCAGCAGACAGTCCCACTAATAGTATGGGGAGATTTGACTGGGTAATTTCCAAGCAGGTAGAGACTCAGTGATTGGTTTCCACTGTATTTTCTTTCCTTACAGGGCAGACAGACATGTCATGGAAGCACAGTCTCGGTGGAGTTTGCAACAGGCACTTGACAAAGTTGGGTACCAGTCAGTTTAAAGATAAATGGGGCCTCACCTTCTCACACAGTGGAATAATTTATTTTCACATGGCTCATAACAAGAATTATTCATAGCTATGGAAAGAAAAATAGAGGGAATATAGACTTGGTGCAATTTCTGTGAACCAGTTAGACATGATACGGTTGGATACTGTTCTATTTCAAGTGAAATGCAGCAATACTGTGCTCTCCATAGAGTGAAATAATTTTTACATGCCTTGTCAGTCTTGCTATGGCCATGGAAAGAAATACAGTGGAAGCAGAGACATTGGCGCTATTTGTGCTATTTAGAATGTTTTTGCAGCTAACAGTTTTGACCTCCATTCTGTTTTGACGGTTCTGGTTTCAAAAGGCTATCATGTATTCCAGCTAGAAGAAATGAAAAAATACCTTCTTTTCCTATGGACTCTCCCATGTTTCACCCAAATCCTGGTTCAGAATTAGTCCAAAGAATTGCTGGTGTAAATCTGATATGCAGCATTGTCAGTGGAAGCACAATGATTAACAGCTTCAAATCTACCCTCAGAGGCCAGCAAGGTTTCATTTTTGTCCCCTATGGTCTGCAGAGATCCTGAAAAGGAACTCAATGAGACTGGAATTTGGAATTTAACATGTGAAAATCAGGGGTCATCATTTATAACATCAATCCTTAACTTCAAAATGGTGTTTGACAGGCTGCAAGTAATTTCTGCTTCAAGCAGTCTCAGTCAGGCAGCAGAATAGCCCAGAGGTTTTGATCTTACCATGGGTAAAAGAGACCTTCTTCGTGATGGATGACTACTGTGTGTGTTTATGATGCATAACATATCAGTAAATTTAATTTAACAATTCCAGTTATCCAAAACTTTTGTCAGGGCAAGCTTGATCTAGACTATAGTTAGGTACACCTGAGCCATGAAAATGGATGGAACAGTTGGGGTTATCCATCATAGGACCTACAATGCAATCCTAGTTATGCATACTGGAGTTGGGGCAAATCATTGCTAAGAATGGAAATGCCAGCATGGGAAAAATGAGCCAACAAGCCTTATACTTTCACTGCTGAGCTGGTCTGGTGCTGGTGATCACAGCTGAAACCAAATGAGTTTCTGCCTCTAGTCTCATGATATCCTGTAGAGCTGGCCAGAGTTTGCACTTCACCAAATGTATCAGGTTTGGGAGCCTGAGGTTATTCGCTCTTGGTTCCTCAACTTCAGTTACCAAAAGTGGAAGACCATAGACAAACAAGACTCTTACCATCAGCTCAGTTTGAGAACTCTGTTGCCTGAGACATAAGGACTTCACCTAGCTTGGTGCAAAGCACTTAGGGCCAGATTCCACCACTACCTCTGTTACCTATCATTGTACCCTCAACCTTCTAACAAGATTCGATACAAAAGCCAGTCCTTTGCAGACCCAGACACAAAAGTAATAAGCAGTAGTATTAGTTCAGAGGGCCTCAGAACAGCTTTCCCTTCTATTTGCCACAAGTGCACCTCATGAGCAAATCTTTCTAATGATGTACACTGTTCCTGCTTGCCTGAATAGTATATCCTCCTGAGTGTATTTCTGTCATTGCCAGTGCAGCAAAGTACTGTCCAGAAAGGAGGGCAGAATTTGCCTCTCAGCTATTAAAATCTCTAGGTTTACCTCCTAACTCACCCTCTTGGTGCCATATGTTGCTGCTATTTATATTTCATGTGCAGAAACGGTAAAAGCCATACTATTCTTATTTTCAAAATGAATGATGTCCCCTTAAAGTCATCCTAAATTGATCCTACATTCAAATTGTAGTTGTTTGTTTTTTTTTTTTAAGCCCCCTTCATACACCAGTATCATGCTCTCTTTGACAAATTGCCTTCTCCAGATACTAGCTCTTTTGGCATCTTGATTTGCATTTTGCAAGATTTGCTTTTTAAATAGCCAATTGTTACCTCAAAGTTTCAAAGCTCTCTTACTGAGAGGCTTTTTAATAGGGAAGAACACTCTCTGCTCACTTTTCTGAAAGATATTGTTTTCACTCCTAGAAATGTGCAGCCAAAGCTGTATGACATATTACTCCTTCACTGTTTACATCCCTAAAAAGAGCTACATTTTTGGCACTGGACATTTTTGGCACTGAAAAGATAGTGTTCCCCACCCCTATCCAGATAAACAGCAGGTCCATAGTTCTTTAACTAGGGGAGGATGGAAAGGTGCCCTGTATCTCAAATGAGGTTCTGTAATGTATTAGACACCTATTGCACAAGCTCTTATGAGATGGAAAGGGACTGGTCGTTCCAGTTCTTCAAAAGCATTCAGAGAAGTTATAAAATGGAGGAAGCAGAATCACCAGCTTGAAGTTCAGAAAAACAGAGATATTACTGAGTTCTTCACTGCATTTCATAGTCGTTATTTAAAGTAAGATACATTGATTCTGTCCTTCATATATATGCCTGGCTTTCAAATAAAGGCAATAACTGCTGAACGACAGAAGGAACATCTCAAATACACTCACAGTTGCCCTGCATTAACAGTGAATCGGAAAAATTAGACACACAAAACTGGGTATTCAGTGACACTGTGTTCATACTGGACAAACTAGCATATAATACTATGTACAATAGTCCGTATTTCAATTTTTATGTGTTTTCAGTTTTTCATAGCACATATATAAGGTGAGGGATTCATATCTCACACAGGCTGAAGTCTTCTGTTAGACAAGCCACTAGATCAAGAAAGAAACTTCCCTGCATTTTTTTTTTTTAACATCAGAGTGCGTCAACCTCAGTCATCTGGTGGTTCCACTGCTGGGAGAAGTACTTCTGTCTCCAGAACAACTCAGCCCACAGCTTTTTTTGTAAGCCTTGCCAGAAAAGGTTGGGAAAGGTACTTCTGGCTAGCCTGACTTCTAACAGAGACAGCAACCTCTTTGGGGAGCTGAGTAAACTTCTAAATTCTTGTCCTGAAGTAATCTAAGTGCTGTCATGAACTAAATCTTCACCCACTCATTTCTTGCAGACATTGATGAGTGCTTGGTAAACAATGGTGGCTGTGACCATTTCTGCCGAAACACAGTTGGCAGCTTTGAATGTAGCTGCCAGAAAGGCTATAAACTGCTCACAGATGAACGGACCTGCCAAGGTAATACTTCATTTATTTTATTCTGTGTACAACAAGGATGTTAATTTCATTGGATTTTTTTTTAATTAAGTCATTTATGCTATAGAGTTTAATCATACTGTCATAGGAAGTAAAGTTAGAAAAGGCCTACTAGAGTTCCATTTTTGGGGGCTGATTTAGAAGGTTTTCAAAAGTGTCTCATGTCGATGTTTTAGTAGTAAGCCGAAAAATCCATGTGGTGTAGTGCAGTAAGCCCAGGCAAAGAGCCTTATGCTCAAATCCTCTGACTGGTATGATCTTCTGGGGACAGAGGCTTATCTCATTCACACTGAAGTCATTTGGAGTACCCTATTGGAATCAAGGATTGGCAACAGTTAAACTTTTCTAAGAAGAGTCTGATCTGTGAGCTCACCTTTGTCTGATAAGATCTGTTTGTGCAGGGATAATGGAAGTGTTTTGTGAGAATGTGCATGAAACACATCTTATGTATGTCATTTGTTTGTGTGTGTCATGACTGGTTCCCTAAGTCATATGATATACATTCTATGACTCGATAAGTGCATAACCATTTCCAATATAAGTACTAACAATGTGCCTTTGGAGAAGTGAAATTTTAAACATTTAAACTCTATAATTCTGCTCTATAAAAGCCTTCTAGAAAAGGCCATAAGCATGAGCATGCATGATTAGAGAAGTGGAAGGAGGAAGTAGTCAAAGAAACTTTTCTTCAGAAATTGCCTTTTTATTAATACGTAATTGTTTGCATGGGTTTTGAACATGCCAAAAATTTTCTGAAGTACAGAACAGCATTGTTACTTTGGAGCTTCTTTATTCATCAACAAGAAGAACAAAGGTCTAAAGATACGTAAACCACTCAAAAGATTTTCTATTGCATCTTGTCAGTAATTCCATCATGTGAGACACCTATTCTACCCTGACTGTGTGGTTAGACACAGAGGAGTCAGTGCAGGGTTGGTTTTGTGCTGGGACAGGATGGGAAAAGCTCGGACTGGCACAGTTAGTGCCACATGACTGGGCAAATATAACATCGTAGGATTGTATCAGGCAAGGATAAGTTGGCAGGTGTTGATATACCCACTAAAAATGAGGACAAAATGTTAAAAAAGAAACATTCCTTCTATGGTGCCTTTGGAGGAGCACCTTCTAGTTGTTGACTCTCATGTGTCTCGACATGCTCTCAGCCTGGTTTCAGTCAGAGGTTTCACCACTGAAGTCATTGTAATTACATCAGTGAAAAGCTCAAGAGGAAAATCAAGCCCTGCGTTCTTGTTATGCTTGGTACAAAGGGCTGGAATTTATTTATTCGTTATGCAGAGATTTAGTAATAAGCTTTGAAAAGTACCTATAAATAATCAGCTATCTATTGTGGTAATGGGAAGTTAGAAGCAGCTCTGTTAGCGTTGTTCAGCTGAGTTTTTTGTTTCTTCGTGTGCCTGGGCTGCCAAATGAGTGTGTCACTGGTGACAATACGTATCGTGCAGTGAATGAAGTGGTAGCTGATCTGCTTCTTTCCCTCATGCAATGAGACAAGAACTGTTGGCTTGGAAATATAAAAATGATCTGATCGTCCTACTACTTCTGTTCTCGGTGAGCAAGGGCAGGCCCTCTGTCTGCCTCTGAATGGTACTTTGAATGTTAAGTCAACTTTAGCTTTTCGGTTGCTCTAAACCATAGATTAGTGCAAGCCCAGTGGCTGCCTGGGCTGAAGAAATTGCTCTAGTCTCAGAAGTGCTGGTTCTTCATAGTAAGAAACAGGGAGGACCAAGTTATTTGCTGTTTGAAGCCCGAGGTATTTCAGCCCTAGAGACAGGTTATGGTAAATATGGTATGATGCCTGCTTTGTGGAGGGAGCTCTGTGATACCTTAGTGCCTGTTTGGTGCTCACAGTGATAACTGGATGCCTGCTGGTGAAAAATGAAGGAAAGGGAATAGAGATCAGGAAACCACTGAAGTATGAATCACCTGTTCTTTATTTCTTCCTCTGCAAAAAGAATATATTCAGTGAAAATGGTTACAGATATTAATGTCAGGTCTGAGAGAAAAATGTGGTCTGGGGTTAGTGACTGTTCTGAAATATATATCATCCACAGGTTTTTCTGGTAACAACCATGCAGCACTGAACCATAGAACGTTACTGAGAGATTCATGGAAACTTATTTTGGGTATATTACTTTCCGATGAGTGAATTAGAAAAGTTTATTTTATATTTGTAAAAGATGCTGTTGTTCCTGTTATATCTGCTGTTTTGATACATAATAGAATTTCTGTGACTTACCATGTTGCTGTCAACGCTGCCTTTCTGCTCTGGTTTCCACTCTAAAAAATAAAGATTTCTTTCAGGGACGTATTAATGCGTTTACCAAATACTCACTTAGGACCTTAGAGGTATATCGTTTGTGGGGCTGAGTCTTATCTAGTTCAACTGGTCCCTCTGGTGTGTAGGGAGCTCATCTCCAAATGTGTTCATCTGTCAGGTCAAGGAACAGATTCTGCTAAGCTTAGGCAAAATGCCCATTGAAACAGATAGTAAGCTTGCCCTTTAAGACCTGCAGAATCCTTGGACATGTATTTGTGTCTGATCTACAGGAGAGAATCAATGAAGAACAAAACCACAGAGATGAAGTTCATGCTAGTAATATTTTTTCAAATAGGTGAAAAATACAAATAAGCTGTTGCTACATAACCTTCTTCAAGTGATCATTAACGTCAGCACAAGACAATTGTACATATTTCAATAAAATGGTTCCTTCATATTCCCTGAGAAACTCTGAGGTTGTCACACCTCACCTCGTTTCTTTGCTGTTGTTTCATTGTAAACCTCGAGTCAGCTTTAAGATTGCAGAGAAATTCTAGTAAAGCCTCAGACTTTGTTCTGGTTGTTTGTATAGCTCCCAGTACATCATACCAAGTGCCTTACACATATTCAATCTCTGTGAAGAGGAAAGTATTACGCTCTGTTTTATAAGCCAGAAGTATGAAGCCCTGTATCAGTGGCTTGCATAAGAACACACATGAAATATGGACTGGACAGTCTGGAGAATAAACTTCCAGATCTTGTGAATCTGACTTCTTCATTCATCACAATTTTTTTTTTCCTATATACATGTTTATACCGTGAAACAAAAATTCATCAGTTTCCAGAAATTCTGAAGCTTGCTGATCACAGGATCCCACGAGGTTGCCACCCTGCCTGTAGAGTGCTTGTGTAAGCAGCCCTTGCATTTGTAAAGGTCATTAAAATGTTCTGCATCTGTCTTTTTTTTTTTTTTAGCCCTGGTTGCAAAGAAAACCACTGTCAATCACAGATTATTTCTGCGAGGGAGTGGTTCTCACATTGTGGCTCCTGATTAGACAAGGAGGAGGGTGGGGGGAGTTCCCTTCCTTTCCCCTCCTCTGCATTCCAGCTGTTTAAAAGGAAACTTGTTTGTAACCCAGAAGGTGAAGAATCTACATCCCAGGGCCAGTGATATGGTGGAGACTAGTGCTGCTTCCCCAGAGTCCCTCTTTTCATGCAAACTTAAAAATAGATTTTTTTTTTGCCTTTGATGGTGAAGTCAATAGGACAATAGGACAATATCAAATCCATGTATTGTGTATTATTTTAACAGATCCCTTAAGTTTACAGTATTGTAAATTCGCTGGTACAGGAAGAAACCTTTGGATCTGTTTGTATAAAAGCTAGCAAAAAAGGCTTGCATCTCCTTTGAGCATATAGTACAAATAACAGCTATATTGATAGCAAGGAGAGCTTATATTTGTAACCTTTGTGGTAATTAACAGCAGGACAACAACCCAAATTAGTTTTAGAACCACATCAGCAACAAAACAGCAAGAAAGACTGTTTAAAGCTACAATGAATCGGTATAAGTACAGCTATAATTAGCTTAATCCTCAGCCAATATGAGTTTTAAAGCTAGTTAACTTAATTGCTTATTCAGTTTCTGTTTGTTGTGCAGTGATCTTGAAAAAAATTCAACAATAAGCACTCTCTCTGCTCCACTCAAGTTCAAGCTTCATTAAGCACCCAGAAAATGTGTGAAATGCTATCATAAGTAATTTTCTCCCCCTGCTGTAGGAATTGCCTTTTGCAAAGGGAAGACAAGGAAAGACAGCGCACACGTTTGTTGTAAAAACAATATATTCAGAAGAAAGTGCTTTTAGTGGGAACATCTAGTGATCAACGTGTAATACCTTGGACTGCTAACTCTATAGTCTCCCCTTCCTAGCCTTTTCCTCCTTTGCCCAAAATAGAGCCAAATCCTCATACGCTATGGGGTTTCCTCTTCTGCAGAAGGCAATTCAAGGCTTTTTGCATCATTCCAGTCCAACTTACATCCTCAAAAGTGGGCTTAAGAGGGATTTGATGATTCCTGCTTCATCATCAGAGATGATGTTCAGCCATAACGAATTCTGTCTAAATAGCCTTTTCACCAATCATTTGAATTGATACCGTCACTATAAAAAGAGGATGATCGTTCACCAGGCAAAAGTACCTCTCTGCCTTGTGGAGTATCTGCGCAGGCCATCTGGACCCTGTGCATGTTCAGGGCTTCTATAAGGCCATGTGCTCACGCTCAGTAGGTGATGGCATTTTTTGTTTGCTCTAACGTATTTCTTGTATGACTGTTGATTATTCTTTGTTACCTTCCTTTCAGATTTTAAATTAACATGATGACTCTCAATTCCTTTTATAACTAGGCACTGGAATACAGTTCCTCGTAGTCTGATGTTGCTAGTACTTGTGTCCATCCAGAGGAAATTCAGCGATGCAGGTTTACACAAAAGGAAATCCAAAACAGAATTTGGCCCACTAGCTTCATGATACAGTGAATTCTCCATCTAGTAATTTTCCTGTGGTGCTTTTTGCTAGAAGTTTGGCATTTTTTATCACTGCAAAGCTGTCAATAAAAGTCCAAATGCATCTATTCTTTTTTTTTTTCCCTCTCATTGTCAGAGAAAGCCACTAGCCCATCCACAATCGTATTTGTGTATTTAGGGTT